TAAGTTAGGCCTTTCATCTTCTAAAAAGGTATCCCAGCTAAGAATAAAAACTGTTTCTTCTGAAAAAGAAAAAAGAAAAAGATGGAATGAACGTTCCGTATAGATGCTCCGCAGTCTGTAACCGTCTGCGTTTCTTTCACATGAGTGGATTATTCGTCCCCTTCGCGCTACGAGTGCGCCCAGTTCCTCCTTCTCCACTTGCAGGTGCAAGTGCACCTGCTGTGCCCTTTAGCAAACGAGTTTCCCAATGGGCTATTCAGTGCAAGTGAAGGCACCAACTGGGGACGACCGACACAAAATCATGAACAAAGAAAAAAGGTGTGGATGTCGAAAGAGAGAAAGAACGACAACCTTGCGTGCTTCAAATATTAATGAACTCACTGTGGGCGTTGTACAGCACAGCATGTACTTCACTAGACGTGAAGTAGCATTTACTTCGTTTTATCTCAAACCAAAACGGCATAAATAGGCGCTTTTGAATGAGGGAGAAAAAACGAGTGCTGTATCAGACATCTCAGTAAACAAACAGACTTTTCCTTCGAAAATCGATCCACTCCAACGCTGGCTACTAAAGCATCCATTTCTGGAAGCAAAACACCAGGTGTTTGAAAAAGTTGAGCAACAACAACAATTGGGTCTGTTCTCATGCACTTCTTTTTCACGTTAATGGTGCGGTGCTTACCAAAATGGAGTGTTCAACAGTAGGATGCCCTTTGGGTTCTATGCGAAATGTCTCGGCGCAGGAGCGAAATGGCACTCTGAGAAAATGATTTCGACGGCACCGAAACCTTCAAAAAGGAGACAGTCGTTCGGCTCGACCTTAAACTGTTAAGTAGTCATTACAAACCTCTGCCCTTTTGACGGCAAAGATATGCCGCATATTTCACTATTCCTACTATAGGGGGACCCTAAGCACCATGATAACGCTACGAAATAGTTGAACAATAATTTCATCTCAATGATCATTTTTTTCTCGATAATTTCATTTTGCTATTGATGTAGTCTTTACGAAATCTTTATTTTTCACTCCATCAATGAAAACCTGTGGAAACTCCGATGATCTTCGACTCTACTCTGAAATGCTTCACACCTACGTGCAAGTGCACTGAGACAGGGTTAGGTGTGAAGCTGCTTTTGAAAGCAACCCTATAGTAAATCAAGGGACCTGAAGGTTCGGACCGATTGCATGACGAGGAATTTGTGTTGTATGGGTAGCACCTCTCTTGATAATGTGAAGCTGAAGTGGTCCACGCTACATGATCGCTGAAGGCATTATTAGCCATCGGAACCCATCCGTTCACTTTTCTGCTTCACCGTCTCGCCACTGTAAGAGATTAGACATGCGCGTCTCGTATAACAGGGGCGTGTCGAGGGAGAATAATACGCTCTGCCGCCATGATATTGTACCTGACCCCGCCCTCCACTATTCCATGGGATTCTCGTCTCCTACCTTGGGCTGTGTTGCCAACACAGCAGTCATCCTTCCGTCAACTATCGACAAGGTGGGGCGCCGCTGATGTCAATTCGTAATTATCAAGCGATTTTTTTTTCATGATAAACAGTCCACCAATTGCCCGTTTCACCGTTGCCAGTCTGACGTACGGTAACGGAAAACTGCCTTTTGGAAGCTTCCCCACTTCTCACGTGGATGATTTCTTTGAGACGTCATTTGCTTGACATTTGTGGGCATTCCACAAATGCCCAAACAAAATAGGCAAAGCAATGATTAGCAGTTTGCTCCTCATAATGTAAATGTCGATTCATGTTCCCATCTTCGTTTTAAATGATTGAAGTTATCGGAAAAGGTTTTCTGTTACTCGTCCAAAGGTTTCAGCCGAAGATCATCTCATTAAACGAACTTCGATACGTCCCTATTAGTCTGTTATCTATTCCACCTGCACTGTCTGAATCCTGTTATTCCATTCCACATGCAACCGCCCTCATGGGCTTTATGCTGACAACAAACAGACCAAGAGCAGACACAATCACATAAAAGAACCCCGAACCGAGACAGGTTCCCGCCAGAATTGTCGAAGAGAGAGAAGTTATTGTCGACAGCAGCCTGTGACCCTTGGAAATTGAATGGGAAACACGACGACATCGAATACGCGACTTGTCCTCACAGAGCAGAGTGTGCGCGACCCTTGCGAAAAATGGGCAGAGGGCTCTGTTATAAGAACGGATTCTCAGCCCGCGCTTAAATGAACTGTACCAGTCGTGAACAACCTCAGTAACGACTTTCCGTAGCAATATATTCATGGGCAAAACACCTCGTTATACTGTTCATTATCGGGTTAGATGACTACGATAATTGCCGAGAAAGCAACGTTGCGAGTTTGCTTGCGACGTGGCAGTTCGGGTACCACGTTGCCATACTGAAGTGGAATAGCCACCCTGTTGCTCGCATGCTATGAGCCCCTTTTAGAGGGGGACGCCGCTCAGTGCCTGTGTAAGATCTATAAACACAACTCGTAATCTGGTTTCATTGGATGTTTGTCTGTTCACTAGATCTATAACAACCATGAATGCAAGGGAATAATGCGCTATCTGTCGTCGGCGACAACGGCCAAAACTGTGATTAACGACTTTTGTCTGGCCCCTGATGTTGACTCATCGCAAATGCGAAACGTACCTCATAACTTTGACACGAATATAAACGTTTCTTGAGAGAGTCAAGCTTTAACATAAAAAATGATCCTACCATTGACAGTATTGGTTGAAAACCCTGCCCGAAGAGACGGCGATTAATGGATGACACAAGTAAAAGTTCTTCATAAACGCTATACGAACACCAAGTCGGCACAGCCGAGTGCAGCCGAGTAAACAGAAACTGCCACTTCCAATCATTTTTTCTAGCTTCCTCACAGATTCCACTGCTCTGCGAAATCGAGCTTGAAGTGCAATCACCACTATTATCCGCCGGTGTTCACACAACCTCTTCTAATAGATTCTGGTTTTTTAGAAAACGGGCGAAGGCGGCCCCTCCGATCAACTGTGAAAAGGTGGACTTCACAAAACGCTGAAGACTTCCTCGCTTACAGAAATGTGTAATTGAACAGGTGATTAGATATCGGGAATTGAGTTTGTCTATGTTGAGGGTCGCCACTCCGTATGCTTATGCCATTGCTTGCTGATTTTTCGTTCCCTCCCTCTATTTGGTTTGACAATAGTGCAACAGTTTGTTTCGTTAGGGAGAGCGTGTTCCGTGTCTCACTCGTCCATTGACTCATCGCTCACCGTCATCGTCGAAACGTTATGAATGGCGAAAGATTCGAGAGCGTTTGAGTCACAAATGCAATTTTATATAGATAAGGAAAAATGTTCCGGTCATGAGAGCTCTTAAAACCTAATCTTATCCGGTCATGAGAGCTCTTAAAACCTAATCTTATCGTCCACAGCCTCGTTTTCCATACCGAAAGCTGGTAAGCAGAGCCGTGACTCAGGGTTCGGAATTTAATGGTAATGGAATTGCACAGAAATTACTTGGGAGAATTTTTCGGAATATGGTGAACCACAGCTTTGAAAAAATGTCAAGAGTTATGAATGAAATCATAAATTATCATATAAAAAATGTACAGTTCAGAGTACAATTGCAGTACGAACAATTGCACGAAACGTCATATTTAACATTACGACAGATAGTAGCATGCAAATTCTTCGCTGTAAAATATATTACGCAGGACATGTTTTGGGCCACTTTTTTCGCCACAAGCCTGAGCTGGTAGATGCTTAGATTCAACGGGAATATCAGCGAAATCAAACTGGTGAGAGAATGTTTACGTACTTTTAAGGACTTAACGACCTCCTCGAAGCAAGTATTAACTTTGAAAAACATTAGTAACTGTAAATTACTTCATGAAACGTATCCTATTCTTTGAAATGGTCACAACTGTTTAAGGAAAAGATCCAGCTTAAAACCACAAAAGATCTAACTTGAACAAATTACCACACAAAAAATGATGTATTCCGCAGACGCGTAAAAATGGCTCACCCAGAAAAAATTGGAAACAAAACATAATACAATAAAAGTGTGAAAAACAAATTTAACGTTATCACTCACTTGTAAATATGTCATCTTCATTTGTGCAGCCAGTTTTTCTTTGTCCTCACGACAAGGATAGAGGTTTCCACCATTGGCCATTAGCCACTGAAGACTTCGTTGCAGAAGTTATCGGGGGTCAGCTTGATAAATAAACTAACTTTATCAAGCATAGCTGACTGCTGACGCATTCGTGCTTTCTCACTGGCAACCGCTGATGCAACCGTGATCTCTCCGATCGATAATTCGAGACCAGGTGACTGAGATTGAAGCACGCTTTCCATATCATCGTTTTCATGAGAAGTGAGTGGCGAAGAAGATATCTGCAGAAGAAGGAAATTCGGAACGCCTATCGAAAAGTGGGTAAGCCATTTGTAGGAGGACTAGTGAGAGGGTCATCATACTCAACCAATTACCACTACGGAAATGCTAAGAATACCAGTTTACCTTGTTCATAATCTCGAAATTGATGCCGAGAGGGTCCCCAGCCGTCGCGTGCGGGGATGGTGAGCACGTCGACACCATCGATAATTTCTGTGAATTTTAACGGACGACAGTACCTGAAAGATAACGATCGGAGGTTGACGATCAATGTGTGAGCTGGAGTGTTGAGATGCGTCAGCTCGAGCCACTTTCGAAATTACTTCAAGCGAAGCGATCAATAGTTTTCGGATGACAATTCATGATGTGCTGGTGTATGACTGTTTGGACTGGCATTTCATACGTCATTCGAAGTGGGACAAAGACAGTACGAGAGATCGTGTGACTACGAGAGAGGTGACAGCTCTCATCATCACTGGGCGAAATGATGTAGCCTATCGAATGTGTAAACACCGTAATGTCTTCGAAGTTATGGTTACATACATGTGACGTAACACACGAGGGAAAACGAGAACTAGCTGTAAGCACTTCTGGTGATGACCACACTATCTCTCGGTTCGTATAGATAGCAGAGCCTTGCGGTTCCGACGTGAAGACGTAGGAAATGCCTCTGATACGGGAAAAGAACCTGCTTATGGGATGACAGAACGAATATTTTACTAGTTGTAAACCATGATAGCCTTGATGATCAGTGATAATTACAATGAATTGTTAGTCTCCAGAGACTAAAAAAACATGGACAGACGCAATGTTACAACGCAGACGAAAACAAGTGGAAATTCTGAAACACCCCACAACTATACCTCACAAGTGGTAAATGGGAAAAAAGGAACTATCCCACAAAATAATCCTGACAAAGTTTGAGGTGCATGCAGGTGAAAAGCTATATAGAGTAGCAAAGGAAGAGATGACTGAATGTCTTCGAAAACAACACCAAATGAAACTGACGGAATCACCTAAAACCAGCGAGGGATGAAGCGGAAAGTTTCTATAAAATAAAGCTGAGGATATTACCAGGAATATATTCCAAGTAACGCATAACCTGTGGTAGCGAAATGAAGAAAAAAAAANAAAAAAAAAGAAACAACTTCAATCGCGCCAGCTTTTGAGAAACCTTGAGAAATGCCAAACACCATCATCAACCTAGCCATGTGGATGAAAACAGTGCAGGTTAGTGGCGTTCCACGCTCAAGAATGAATCATCGAGTCTGCGACTTGAACGATAGTACCGAAAGGCTATTACAAGTTAATGACAAGACTACATAAGCAGCATTAGCAGAGCAAGTTGTTACGGGCTGTCAAAGAACAGATCCTTTCCCATTTTTCTCGGTACTAATATACTTGAACCGAGCACGTATTGCTTTTCCCTTGACTTGTTCTTTATTAGGGAGTAAAGCCCCTCCCTTTTCCGGAAGGTGGCTTCCTGACAGTTTAAATGCCGTCACCTCAGAAGATGATTAACTGCACAAATGCGAGAAGCAGGTCCAACATTCATGCGAGGAAGAGTGGAATCAGAGCTGAGAAAACTTAGGATATAAGCAGATGCCGATCATCATCATTCACCAGGAAACTCTTGCCATGGACCAAAACTGGTGAAAGCCCACCTCTGTTCACCATCAGATGATGTTACGTTGAAAACTCAAGTGGTGAGTAGAACGGCATCAGACCTATACCGTCAACTTATCCCATAACGGTGGGTAGAGGGACAACTAGATAATGTGATAGATAAAGATTTGAATCAGGCCTGGGCCTGGCCTCGTCGAATTTGACCACAAAGACGTGGATTCAAGGTCGCAGAGAAGATTTTGATACACGAACTCATGAGTTCAGCACCCAGAACCAAGCAAACTTTTTGAATTTTGAAGTAAGGAATGCATGCCTGGCCATACCAAACGAAACTGCTCCAGTTCTTATACGCTTCAGTCGCCATAGGTACCAAGTCGAGAATTAGTCCAGCTGGAGTCTACCCATTGTTACTCAATTGTATCAAGCGAAATGAAGCCTGATATGCCATCTGAACATGAGGATATGAATTTCAAGCCTCGATGCCTTCCATGTCCTAAAGGGGTGAAGTGGAAAAGTAAGTCGAGAAAGGTATAATCTTCACTGAGGGTTTCACAAACACAATATCTGGAAGTTCTTTACATTGCGACAAGAAATACAGTGAGATAATCATGGCCACTTCTTAAACGCTAATGAGTTCACTACAAACAAATCGCAGGTGGTGAAGAAGATCTACTGATGATACCTTCATTTCGTTTTAAACCTCCTATTATAAAAGCAGTCACTTGGCGAGTCGCCTAGTCGATCTATCCCGATGATTATGATAAAGATAATGATATGGGAGTCTATATAACACTGCCTTTATAAGAAGAATGAATAGTTGTGAGTGAGCTCAAAAGGTGCTGGTGACGCGTCAATAGCAATCGATTGATGGCGATAAATATTGATTGGTGACGTCACTGATCACATCGTAGTAGTTTTATTCTGCAATAGAACAAATAAAACGGGTAAGAGAGATATTCGATGGGGATCAGCGCTGCGATTTCAATCGATATCGACATATTACTTTATGTCCGTACGTCTAATGCGAAATTGAAGATTTTGCTATCGTATTTTATTTTTGCTTCTTTTCTTTAATCTTTGCCCTTCTTATTCTCTGACTAATCGAATCGACTGACAAATGCCGGACTGCCCTCTTTCCTGCGACAAATTAAAGATACTCGGCTGACTCGTCATTCTCTTTTTTCAATTCAAATGATATTTTCCAGAGTACAAACTTTCCGGATGGCAATCAAGGAACGATGCGGGAACCTAAATCAATCTGAACATGTAGAGAAGGGAACATGGAACAAATAGAGAAATGCCAAAGAGAAATCGATATGTGGTGACGCTTCGCTTATGGTCATGGAATATTGATCAGTTGTTCTTGATCTCAAGGGTAACCACCCGCTAAGGACATAACTCTTCCTTTTTTTTGAGCCTATTGGCATAGCGATTTCCTACTACTGAGTAATCTAATAAGTCAAGAATGAAGGGAAACGTTTTTTGGGCGTGAACTGATCCCGTCGGAGGGAAACGCCTCCTACATTTGACTTCCATTCAGAATCGTAGTGGCATACCGGGCCAGGCGATGTAAAAGTCATCCTCCCAGAGAAGTCTGGAACTGAATAGCCGACATCGGGGGAATGGAAAGTTTGGTTAGCTTATGTGGACATCGATCGAGGTTTGATTACGGAACCATGCGTTGGAGACAGTGCACCAATTGCTTCTACAACACTTTCACCCTTTAGTTAAGAATGCTTCTCATTAATATTGCTAAGTGATGTGGTAATGCCGCTACATGTGGGCTAAGTAGTTCTTTCAGGCATCTCATTACATCTGCTCCCATGTGGGATAATTAGAGTAAAAATTTTACTGGATCTACCATTTTTCTGTGAGCCGGATTCTCGAAAAGTACGCGTGCCCATGCTCCTCAATCACTAACTCATATTTCTTTTGGAATAGACCAGTTTTCACTCTCGTTTGAGTTAAAATGAGGTGGGGAAACTAGAACGTATCACGAATGTGACATTTTTCGAAAATTCTAAAAATGTGTTAGAAAAAGAGACAAAAAAGAATGGTACGATAATGTTGTGCTGAGAAACGAATTCGAAGTTTGTTAATATACAGAAAAACAGCTCCTAGATGAGGGGAAAGAAAGGCAAAATCAGAAAAAGTGTTCCATAACATCGGAGTAAAACAGATGGTGAAGTATAAGGTTGCATAATTCAGTAAAGCAGTTGATTCGAGAGGAAATATGGCAAGGTTTCGTTGGACGTTACGGTTACTCTTCAGAAAGTGGGAAAGACGGGCGATAGTAGGCGATTTCATCTGCAGATAAATGAAGAGTAACCCAACGATGTTAACTGATAGCACCTTTGAATTCTACCCATATCAGACTTTCAAAACAAATATGGGGTGTTGCTCTGTGAAAGCAAGACCGAAGTTCAAAAAAGAGCAACAAAAATATATAGCCAGTGAGGTGGGCGAGAAACATTGGTTGGTATGAAAACGATCCCCCATTGACGATGACACAAGGCTCGGGCCTCTGGAACGCTTCGAGTGGGACAAGATTACTGATGCCTAGCTCATTCATGCGCAACGTAGGAAACGATCGAGCTCGAGAACGCTCCCGGAGAGATAAAGCGGAATGAGACCCGTCACCATAAAAACCAATCCAGCTAAGACGATGCCCACAAAATCTAGCAATTTTGCTTGCGCCGTGCTTTGGCAAGTTTGGCTTCAAAAGGGGAGAACCGTTTGAGGGAACAACGCATATGGTGTCTGATTTTGCATAGCATCCAGGAATCTATCGTATGAGTGTTTAGGATGAGCCACTTCGTTCGCAAGCCATTCTTCCCCCTGACCCCTCCATGCAACACGCCTTCTTTCGTAAATTTCGGCATTTCGAAACCCCGAACACGCAGTAATCGTTTTATTTTCGAAAAAAAAAACCAACCAACATTCCTCTATCACCCCTTCACTTTCCGTTCGGGACAACAATGTCCAAAGCCAAGATCCTAAATAAAATCGTGTGTAGCAATTGTGTCATTACACACAGCAACTTCGAGGGTCTTCAAAGACATGGAGTGCTTACACTGACATCTTCTTTTATGAAATTTTTGTTGAGCTGATTGCTGAACAACTAATCTAAAGAAGAACAACTATCCCAGATAGAAAACCATAACACGGAAGAAAGGTGGACTACATATCCACTTGTTATCCCCAAATAATCAGTAAAGTGCACCATGGCTAGAATCATGAGTAAAAACGGAACCGAAATGGAAACGGCCAAGAAACAACTGCGCAGAGCAGACGACAGCAAAGCAGGCGAATGGCAAACGGAAGAGCCATTGTGACG